TGTTTTTCAAGAAAAACACACATTTTATTCATTATTATAAAATATAATATCACTATAATTGTAATTCGTAGTGTAAATGTGTTATTTTCAACTTTATATTAAAGTTACGAGAGGGTCTGAGCTCTCGTAATGTTATGAGGCTATTTGCAAGGATTTTTCGTTCTCGTAACCTTACGATGTTTCTGTCAACGGTTTACGAGTGGAAGTTAATGGTAAGACTAATGTTGCGACTAATTTTGTTTCTGACAACGGCCCCCTGGTAATTAATTAAACTATTCGTGCTTCAATAAAATTCAAAATTCACAGAAACCATAGCTAAGAGATGTGTTTATATGTATCTAGAATTTTAGAAATGTAACTCAAATCGTTCGCGAGATATTAGCCTATGACGACACCGCGCATATATTAGCCTATGACGATACCATGCGTACGTATATTTCTGGTAATTAATTAAACTATTCGTGCTGCAATAAACTCAAAATTCACAGAAAACATAGCTAAGACATGAGTTTATATGTATCTAGAATTTTAGAAATGTAACTCAAATCGTTCGCGAGATATTAGCCTATATGACGATACCGCGCGTATATTACCCTATGACGATACCGCGCGTACGTATATTTCTGGTAATTAATTAAACTATTCGTGCTTCAATAAACTCAAAATTCACAGAAACCATAGCTAAGACATGTGTTTATATGTATCTAGAATTTTAGAAATGTAACTCAAATCCTTCGCGAGATATTAGAGTTGGGGCGTGTGAAACATCTCACGAGTTAGCCGGCGAACCGAGCTGAGCGATCTCCAGACGCGTCAACTCATCTGACAAACCGAGCTCACCGATCTCCAGACGCGTCAACTCATCTGACAAACCGAGCTCACCGATCTCCAGACGCGTCAACTCGGTCAACTGCAAACCGAGTTGGCAGGTGAACCGAGTGCAAAAGGTTGAAAGCTTGTTTCGTCGCTCACATACGTCAGACGGTACGTCACAGTTTCGACTGTACAAAATTTAATTAATTTTGTTTTTAATAGGGTTAGGGTTATTTTTTAGAGTTACGGTTAAGGTTAGGGTTAGGGTTAGGGTTAGGCTTACAATGCACCTTAAAACAGGAGTTTGAGTCCGTACGGACGTGACGTCACTTGAGCGACGAAGCAAGCTTTCAACCTCTTGCGAACCGAGTGGGGCCGAGGCGGTTCAAGGATAGAGAACATGGGTCCCAATAAAACCAATATGTCATTTACATCAATTTTCATGATGATCAATATAAATATAATATTATATCAATATAATACTAATAAGGTTAGGATTATATGGTTATGGTTAGGATTAGGGTTAGGATTAGGGTTAGAATTAGGGTTAGGGTTAGCAGGGCTCGACTTTAACGGTGGCCCGGGTGCCAATGGCCACCTGAAACGGCGTC